TGCTTACCTTTCTTCCCTGCGTCAGGATCCTGAACTCAACCAACTCATGGTCACGGCCTCCCCGATTCCCATCCACTTTTGCTTCCCCCACTAATTCTACCCGGTTTGAGAGCAGCAGGTCAAGAAAAGCGCCCCCCCTAGTTGGCTCCTCTAGCACTTGCGCCAGGAAATTGTCCCCTACGCTTTCCAAAAACTTCCTGGATTGTCTATGCACCGCTGTGTGTCATAGAATCCTAGAATATCAGAGTTGGAAGGGACCTCAGGAGGTCATCTAGTCCAACCCCCTGCTCAAAGCAGGACCAATCCCCAACTAAATCATCCCAGCCAGGGCTTTGTCTAGCCTGACCTTAAAAACCTCAAAGGAAGGAGATTCCACCACCTCCCTAGGTAACCCATTCCAGTGCTTCACCACCCTCGTAGTGAAATAGTGTTTCCTAATATCCAACCTAAACCTCCCCCATGGCAACTTGAGACCATTACTCCTTGTTCTGTCATCTGCTACCACTGAGAACAGTCTAGATCCATCCTCTTTGGAACCCCCTTTCGGGTAGTTGAAAGCAGCTATCAAATCCCCCCTCATTTTCTCTTCTGCAGACTAAACAATCCCAGTTCCCTCAGCCTCTCCTCATAAGTCATGTGTTCTCGTCCCCTAATCATTTTTGTTGCCCTCCGCTGGACGCTTTCCAATTTTTCCACATCCTTCTTGCAGTGTGGGGCCCAAAACTGGACACACTACTCCAGATGAGGCCTCACCAAGGTCGAATAGAGGGGAACAATCACATCCCTTGATCTGCTGGCAATGCCCCTACTAATACATCCCAAAATGCCGTTAGCCTTCTTGGCAACAAGGGCACACTGTTGACTCATATCCAGCTTCTCGTCCACTGTCACCCCTACGTCCTTTTCTGCAGAACTGCTGCCTAGCCATTTGGTCCCTAGTCTGTAGCAGTGCATGGGATTCTTCCATCCTAAGTGCAGGACTCTGCACTTGTCCTTGTTGAACCTCATCAGATTTCTTTTGGCCCAATTCTCTAATTTGTCTAAGTCCTTCTATATCCTATCCCTACTGTCCAGCATACCTACCACTCCTCCTAGTTTAGTGTCCTCTACAAACTAGCTGAGGGTGCAATCCACGCCATCCTCCAGATCATTTATGAAGATATTGAACAAAACCGGCCCCAGGACCGACCCTTGGGGCACTCCAGTTGATACTGGCTGCCAACTAGACGTGGAGCCAATGATCGCTACCCATTGAGCCTGACCATCTAGCCAGCTTTCTGTTCACCTCATAGTCCATTCATCCAGCCCGTACTTCTTTAACTTGCTGGCAAAAATACTGTGGGAGATCGTATCAAAAGCTTTGCTAAAGTCAAGGAATAACACATCCACTGCTTTCCCTTCATCCACAGAGCCAGTTATCTCATCATAGAAGGCGATTAGATTAGTCAGGCATGATTTGCCCATGGTGAATCCATGCTGACTGTTTCTGATCACTTTCCTCTGCTCTAAGTGCTTCAGAATTGATTCCTTGAGGACCTTCTCCATGATTTTTCCAGGGACTGAGGTGAGGCTGACTGGCCTGTAGTTCCCAGGATCATCCTCCTTCCCTTTTTTTAAAGATGGACACTACATTAGCCTTTTTCCAGTCATCTGGGACCTCCCCCGATCACCATGAGTTTTCAAAGATAATGACCAATGGCTCTGCAATCACATCCGCCAACTCCGTTAGCACTCTTGGATGCAGTGCATCCCGCCCCATGGACTTGTGCCCGTCCAGCTTTTCTAAATAATCCCGAATCACTTCTTTCTCCACAGAGGGCTGGTCACCTCCTCCCAGTGCAGTAGTCTGGGAGCGGACCTTGTTTGTGAAGACCTAGGCAAAAAAAGCATTGAGTACATTAGCACGACATCACCCTTGTTGCTCACGCTTCTAAATTTAATCCAGAGACTCTCAGGTTTTTCTGCAGTTTCATACCAGAGCTCCTTTATGTCAGTCCACATAAAGGATGACTACTTACTACTGCTATCATTTACCTTGCTAGCTCAAGTTGCAGGGGTCTGTGTGGTGGAGCTAAAGGTTTTAGTCCTACTGATGTCCCATATGGGTATCAATATGATGCTACTGGATGGAATTCATGTGTTCAGTTTGCTTTTTTAAAAACCTAAGTAACTTCTCACACACACACCCCATTTTCAAAGAGCTCTAAGGTTCCAAAGTCAAATGCTCAAAAGTTGGGAAATGCCAGAATAAGGGTTGGTTGTGCAACCTTAATTTGTCCCACTTGTGGATATGTATTGTGATAGTCTTTAATTAGATGATTGCATCCTGTTTTTTTTCCCCACAGCACCTCTGCCTTAATCAGTTCATAGGCCTATTTAGTTTTGGGTCCACCTCTTCCCAGAACTCAGACCTATGGCCTCAGCCACAGGGAGGGACTACAAAGTCCAGAGAACAGAGTACTTTGGGTAACAAATGTGAAAAAAGGGATGGGAGTGAGGATATCGGTCCAACGCAGGATCCAGAGGGGATGCTAAGCAGAAAACCCCAGTCAGTGCCCACTGCTCCACAAAGGAGTCAGAGGATTCAGGGGTGCCACCTAGAGAAAATCTGCCTGGATACCGGATACCAGTAGAGAATGGAAGAGGGCACTTCCCCTTCCAACTTGCTCCACCTGGACAGATGGGTCAGCAGTGAACGGGGATCACTCTTCCTCAGGATCCACTTGAGGAAAATGAGAGAAGGAGGAGACAAGGCTGCCCTCGCCTCCTGGAGCACACAACAGGGTAAGAGCAGGGTGGGCAGCTCCATGCACTGGCTGAGTGCTATAATCCCTCTGATCCTAATCCCAGACATTTTAGAGTCTGGTGGTAGCAGCCAGGACCAACTTCCAGTGAATCAAGGGGGACTCCCTCACCTACACATAGAGATGGGGTTGTGTAGGAGGGGTTCTGCAAGGAGGGTCTTCTCCACAGTGGCTGCTACGGACCTGGTCACTGACACTAGATGCTTCCAGGTCCTGAGTAGGTCCCAGTAGAAGACTGGTAGCTCAGAGAGGTCTCAGGAGATAAGAGCTGCCTGGCATATTGGAGCTGATGGAGAAAGATGTGCACCAAAATGCTTCATGTATGACTACCTGCACTGTCGCTGAAGGGCCTGAATCCAGGAGCTGTGGACCTGCCTGGATGCAGAGCAGGCCTGGTCTGCCCTCCCACAAGGGGAGGCTCAGGACAGCCACAGAGACCCAGTGCAGACTGGCCAGAAAAACTCCAGAAACTTGTTCTGGAGGCTGTCTAGGGTTCCTGTAGGGTGCTCTCAATGTGCTGAAATGGTGCCAGAGCATAGACTGGACAGGTTGACAACCAGTGTCCTCCCGAAAAGGACAGGAAGTGCACAAGGGACTTGCTGTAGGGATGAAGCAGGGCTGTGTAGTGAAGGAGACTGACTGTAGGACCCTTGCCTTATTTGTTCCAAAAGTTGGAAGATGTGTAGTGAATGAGGCAGGGGTCTGCCATAGTAAAGGCAGTTGAATGCTACCATGGAGAATTGAATTATAGACTTGAAATTAGACTAAGGTTTCTAACCATCAGAGGAGTGAAGTTTTGGAATAGCCTTCCAAGGGAAGCAGTGGGGGCAAAATACTTATCTGGCTTTAAGATTAAACTCTAAGTTTATGGAGGAGATTGTATGATGGGATAACATGATTTTTGGTAATTAATTGATCTTTAAATATTCATGGTAAATAGGCCCAATGATCTGTGATGGGATGTTAGATGGGGTTGGATCTGAGTTACTACAGAGAATTCTTTCCTGGGTATCTGGCTGGTGAATCTTGCCCATATGCTCAGGGTTTAGCTGATCGCTATATTTGGGGTGGGAAGGAATTTTCCTCCAGGGCAGATTGGAAGAGGCCCTGAAGCTTTTTCGCCTTCCTTTGTAGCATGGGGCACAGCTTACTTGCTGGAGGATTCTCTGCACCTTGAAGTCTTTAAACCATAATTTGAGGACTTCAATAGCTCAGACATAGGTGAGAGGTTTTTTGCAGGAGTGGGTGGGTGAGATTCTGTGGCCTGCGTTGTGCAGGAGGTCAGACTAGATCATAATGGTCCTATGTGATGCTGGATAAGGCACTTGAAGCAAACTTTTTCGTGCGTGCTTTGAGACTACTGGGTCTTACGTGCAGAAGTGCTGAGGACTCAGAAGTGTGACTGAAGTCAATGGGAGAGCTATTCTTTGAACATATTAAGTGTGATATAATGCTAATGAAACATCAGGTCCTAGGTGTGCCAAATTGGGCACCCAAATAGGTGGATACTTTTGACCTTAATCTCTTTGTGCCTTAGTTTGCTATCTTTAAAATGGGGATAACACCCTTTCCTCTCACAGGAGTGTTGTGGAAATAAATTTAATAATTGTGAAACATTCTAAAACTATAATGGTGAGGACCATGAGGAGGAAATAATTGCGCCTTAGAACAAGGTTTAAATAGTGTGCAGTGAATAAGGCATGGGTAACACATTGAATGATGATGAGGAAACAAAATACATTAAACACTATCCCTCCTGTGCACTGAGTGAGGTAGGAGTCCTGAGGAAAAAAAATAGAATGTAATCATGTAATTAAAGACTGCATCATAATGCATACAGCACAGTGGAGTCAAATTAAGGTATCCTGGGCAACCTGAATTCTGGCATTTCCTAAACTTTGTGTGCTTGAGTTTCCAACCTTAACGTTCTTTTAGCATGTGTATGGGGAGTGGGATGGGGGTGCTCATTTTCTGAAGTGGAAATAATAGGGAGTTTTGATGTGATTACCAAACATGCTTTCATTTGGCCTAAACCAGATTTTAATCTTGGTTTTCCAGATGTGAAACTCTGCTATGTTAACTCACTGTTCCAACAAAACTCTACTAAAGTCATTTGGTTTTTGTTTGCTTTTTTCATCTGGTGTTCAGTGACTGTTTAAGTGCATAAGTCTAATGTTCAATGTGTTTTTTTAATAGATCTTATTGTTGTGATAGCCTCAATTATTGTTCTGAGTGTAGGATCAAATGGGCAGGTGTTCGCCACGTCTGCCATAAGGTACGTTCTTCTAGTGACTGTAACGTAACTAAATACAAGATGGGTTTGTAGATGCATGCTCAATTGTTATTACCAAAGATTATCAAAATGTCAAGGTAAATGGACTATGAAGAACTCAGTGTACCATTGTGCCTCGGTCACTGATTGGGAAAGGCAGCATCGAGGCAACGCATACTGCATGGGTGTGAGTGTGGAAGCAGAGAGGACACAACTAAAGAAACATTATGTCCCATACAAAACATCCAACACTCTTTCTGAAGGGGAAAAAAGAATATTACAGCATGTTGGTTTATTTTAGAAGTAATCCAGACACCACTTAATTCACTTGGTACTTTTTTGGAGAATGTGTAATTACTTCACTTAAATCCATCAAAGCACAATTGCATTTTATCTGGCACAGGTAACACATACCATGCAGGAACCAGACGCATTTGATTTATGCAGTGTTTGTTCAGCTTGCCCCAAGTAGCACAATGTTGTTTTGGATGGTAAATTGAGTAAATACTGGAAAGGAGCGATAAGGAGTGGTGGAGGTGTATTCCCACTTTGCTTAATCCAGCAAAGGGGTGCTGCACCTCCTATAATGTGTTAAGTGCCCTCCCTCCCACTTGAGTTATTGGGAAGTGAGGAAGTCAGCACTTTGCAGGACTGGGCCCACATATATACAACTCCCTTTAGTATATGCCTAAGGTATTTACGGGGCACTGACTTTTGGCATATAAGAACTGACAAGATTATGAAGACATAAATGTCCAGAACAAATATGTACTTTCTGTTCCCACAGGTGAATGTGTATGTTAAGATTTGTTTAATTTAGGGCTGCCAATTAATCACAGTTAACTCACACAATTAACTAAAAAAAATTAATCGGAATTTAAAAAATTATTTGCAATAAATCTCACTGCTAAACAATGGAATACCAATTAAAAATGATTAAATATTTTTCTACATTTTCAAATATATTGATTTCTATTACAACACAGAATACAGCATACAGTGTTCACTTTATATTTTTGATTACAAAGATTTGGACTGTAAAAATGCTAAAAAGATAGTATTTTTCAATTCACCTCATACAAGTATTGTAGTGCAATCTCTTTATTGTGAAAGTGTAACTCACAAATGTAGATTTTTTTTGTTACATAACTGCACTCAAACAAAACCATCTAAAACTTTAGAGGCTACAAGTCCACTCAGTTCTACTTCTTGTTCAGCCAATCGCTAAGACAAACAAATTTGTTTACATTTAGGGGAGATGATGCTGCCTGCTTCTTTACAATATCACCTGAAAGTGAGTACAGGTGTTCATATGGCACTGTTGTAGCTGACGTCTCAAGAGAGTCTGAAATTCATGTTCTGGTTGGTTACTTAAGTTGCATAGCATTGTCTCTACTCACTGATTGTTTTTAGTTACATAAATCATCCAATCAAAATGAGAATTGTGACTTTTACAGTTGAATATTCCATTCACGTTTTGCTTTTGGAAAATATCAAAGTTAAAAGTTTACTTTCTGCCAGTGTTCATGCTAGTAAAGTTTTGGTACTGAATGGTCTCAGAAAGCAAACATTTGAGAGTCACAAATAAGTAAAAATGTAATGTGCTTATGAGTATGAACAAATATGTGTACAATTTATTTATTTAACTATTTGGTATAATGATATACTATACACTTAAATACAGAGTAGTCTACAGTATTGAAATTATGGGTCCACACACAAAAGGTACCGAATAGCCTTAATCCACAGGCACATCTCTGGGAACAGAAGTTGCTCAGCATCCTGAAGAATGATCAGGAACATGGGGGTTTTTCTGTTTTTTTTATTGTATATAAATGTACCCTGAAGGTTGTGTGCAGATTAAAAAAATAGTTTTGTATCGATATTTAAGTTTTTGATTTTCATTTCACATTTTTCTTTCAGAGGAATCCGGTTTCTCCAGATACTTCGCATGCTTCATGTAGATCGGCAGGGTGGCACTTGGAGACTCTTAGGATCAGTTGTTTTCATACATCGTCAGGTACTGGATATTTTAAAATTCCTAACACATTGTCCATGAAGCTTATTCATCTCTTGGACTTCAAACCATGATCTGGTTTAAAATGAACAATTGTTGCAAGATAGAATGAATCACTTTCAAAGACAATCACGTTTCTTTTTATTTTTAAAACAGGAACACAATTAGGCTGAATATTTCTTTCAATCTGGGGGCTAGTAGGCACCAGCAGTGGTATTTTCTGGAAATTAGCATTATAGTTGTGAATAATGGTTCTCTGTGAAGTTTGATGGAACTATTCAGGCAGAATTTATTTAACATAGTTCCATGGTTTGTCTCACATATAAAAATGCTGCCAGCTGTATTTGCAGGAACTGTCTTCCAACCCAGGTTATTTTGGCAAAAAAACAAACCAGTTGAAAAATTTTAAGTGAACACATCAGCCATTTTAACCATTCCTTTTTATTTAGCTACTTGAATATTGGGGTTTCTAATCTGTGCTATAAATAAAAATATTAAATATAGTGTGTTAACATGCAGGAAACACTATTTTATCTAAGGATATAGGCTGTGAAATAGAGGTAGATATTTCTATAAATAGCAGTCTTTGTTAAAGCTTGTACGTTTTATCATTACCTCTCTTGTTCAAAAGTACTTAAGCTTAAATAATCACTTTTCATATAGACTTTTTTACACATACTTTGGCAAATGAATGATTGAAGGGCCCTTTTTAAAGGGTCACTTTTGAATCTTTTTTGGTGAAAACGGGTGCTCGAAGTTAACCATATCAACATATTATTGTCATCCTCTCTTACTCATCCAGTCATATTATAGTGGCTTGTTCCACACTATAGATTTCTTCACCTTTAAAGCCAGTTATTTCTCCTCCTAGGACAGTCCTTCCTTCATATAAATCTGTTCTCCAATTAGTGTAAACAACTATAAACTTCCATCACAGCTGCCACCTGCATTTGCTTCAGCAGATCATTATGTTATGTTACAGATGACTGGGAACTGCTTAAAACAAAACACTGAAAATCTATAGTATAGTTATTCTTGTGCTATTAACATTTCTGCTGCACCACAGGTAACTTCAGATCCAACAGGCTGAACTCCATTGAAAAACACTGAATTCCTGTTTAAAAAAAAAATCCCCAAACAAACAGCAAAAATTCCTCAACACAAATCCACTTCATTCCTAAATGACATGAGGAATTTTAATGGCCCATGTCAGTGTAAGCTTCGTTGTTTATCTCTACGGTGCATGGCTATCCATATAATACTGGACTAGACTCCTAAAGTATTTTCTTAGTATTCATAAGGCTTACTGTGGGGGTTTTCTGGGGGCAAATAAAAAAATACCTTGGAGAAGATAACCCCATGAACCAAATGAATTTAAAGTTATATTACTCCAGAGAAGTGATTATGGTGATCTATAAACAGTCTTCATATCTGTGATGCTTGACCCAGGAGATCACCCACTGACACACGAGCAGTTCAAAATCAAAAATATTCTTTATTGACATTGGATAATTGTAGCTGAAACTGCAGTGAACAGAAGGGAAAACAGAACTTTTATTCCCCTCCAGTCTGCAATAGAAATTTGGGTTTTAAAGAAAAAAGGACCTCAGCTTCTTTTTCTTTGCAGCCAGCATACAAAGCAGACTTTCATTTGTTCTTGTTACTGAATTGGACACTTTTTCAATACAAAATAGGATCCTAAATCCCTGAAAAGTGCACAAAAGGAAATTATTTGGGTCCCACTGAAAATAGATTCACTTGGATTTGTCTGTGCCCAGAAAAGCTTACTAAAGATTGAACCAATGCTTTCCATGTGTGTTTGAGTTTTACGTATAGCTGTATTAGCTCACTGAAACCCGATTTGGCTAGGGCACTCAGCTATTTTCAGAAGGTTGAGCTTATACTAGTGTCTTTTGCCAAAGGCAACAGAACATGAGTCAGTATCACATATGGTGATGGAAAAACTTGGAAAAAATCATGCAGCTCACTGAAAAACTATTGAGTTAACTTACCCAGCTCCAGTTTAAGTCTCTAATCTCAGAGGTTCACTTATCCCTCATCTTGCTTTGTGAGCTGCCATAATGCTTCTAATAGAAGGTCAATTGATGGTTTTTCTAAGAGTTCTGAGTAGTGTTATTATTTGAGATTTGTCATAATTAAAAATGTGTCCAGGTTTAAAAGAACTTCTTGACTTAAGCCCCTCAATACTGATCTGTCATGTTACCCTATATGCAAGTGTGATTTTGGCTTTCTTTGCACACCACCCCCCACTAACCTTGTTTCAGTCATAACTGCGAAGTGTGTTAGACTTCTGTGGGGGAGGAAAGGGAAAAGAAATATTTTTGTCACTCTGTTGATGTTTCACCTGATGAATAGCATCTTGGTCTGTTAGCTGTCCTTCTCAAAAGCATGAGAGTAAGCTTGGCTGTGTGGTAAGTGCAAGGACTGCAAGACCTGGACTCTTGAGTTGTGTATCTGGCCCTTCTACTGACTTCCTTGTTTTGGGCAAGTTATTTAACTTCTGTCTGTTACTTCAGCTATAAAATAGAGATAATAGTCTGAGCCTCGATTTCTGCAAAACTGTCAAGCAACTTTAGATGTTAGATCCTATATTAGTGCAACTATCAACTCCTATTTCTTTGTGCTCTAATTCACTTTTTGTTGAAATTTTTATATCCTATCTACATATCTCCTTAGTATAAGGCTGCTGGAACATTTTTAATATTTATATATACACACTTGCTATTGCAATATTTGTTTGTAAACATGTATGTACGTATTCAGAGTGGCCATTAGAGATGATCTGAGGAAGTGGTGTTTTCATCCAGACCGAGTTTTGACAAGGGTCCAGGCTTTAATGAATTGGGCTACGATTTAGAGATGCTGATGCTGAAATATCCTCGGTAGTTCTGGTGACATTTCAGCCACAGTGGTGGGAATCTCATGATATCCTGCCCAACTCCACTAAAACTCATATTGGTCTGCCTCATTTTAAAGCCAATACTTCACATAGAAAATCTCCAACTATTGTCTGGCCTCCATTCCAAGGCAAAATCAGTGAGAAAGTAGTAGATTCTGTGTTCCAATTACTTGTGACATCTGCCAATAGCTTGGATGTTTTGTAGTTGGGCTCTTGTTTGAAGCAAGACACAGACAGCTTTTGTGGCACTAATATGGTACCTTCATTCAGTGGGAAGTGATGTCATCTCCGGGGGATGGAAGCGTAGGAACTTCATGCTCAGTTGGTGACTAGAACATCCACCTCCATTGGCTTTCTTGCCCTTTACAGCCTACAGAATTCAGGCTTTCCAAGTGTTAAATGGACACCCACAAATAGAGGCTGCTCAAGACTATCTGCTGCCCTAGGCAAAACTTCAGTGTGCTACCCCTCTCCTTATAAGCCTAGGATGGCAGATTTGACCCAGCTGTCCATCTGTCAAATTTGAGTGACTGGAATTGCAACCTGGTGTATGGGGTCACAGAGCCATTCACATTTGGCCAGGACACCCCTCCATCATGATAGAGGGGCAGCTGGGACAAATCTGCTGCCCTGGGAAGGTGCCTAGTTTGTCTATACCTACAGTAACTAAACAATATCTTAGCATAATGAATGGATGATCGCTGCAGAAAGAGGAAGGACTTGGACAAGATAGCACAGAAAGCTGCCAAAACCAAGAGAAAACAATGTGAGCTGCAAATGTAAAAGGAACTCTTAACAGTTCAAAGCAATAAGATCAGACATACCAAGTGTATTAACTGCTGTACAAAAAGAGGCAGCAGAGTTGGTGGAGGAGAGGTTGACCACAATGAACTAGTGAAGATTCAGCTCTGACTTCCTTGCGCAACCAATGCATCAGGCCACTAGAGCTGAGAAAAAGACTTACAGGTGAAACTGGAGCTACTAAAAACTGAGACTAGAGAGGGAACAATCGGGACTAATGGATTACCTGAACATTTATTGACAAGGGAGAATGCTTTTGTTTTGTGCAAAGGTTAATTAGGTGCACTGAATCTGGATTATCCCAGTGAAGTTTCAGTGGGCAGGGTTTTTAGAGTCTTGACTCCTGATGCTACAAGTAGCAGTTGTCTCAGGGAGCATTCCAAGGCTTCACCATTTCCACCAGAAAGATGCTGTAATGAAAAAACAAAGGGAATGGAAAGAAATTAGTTTAAGGTAATAAAACCCAGATCTTCCAAAAAGAAAAGGAGTACTTGTGGCACCTTAGAGACTAACCAATTTATTTGAGCATGAGCTTTCGTGAGCTACAGCTCACTTCAAGCTCATGCTCAAATAAATTGGTTAGTCTCTAAGGTGCCACAAGTACTCCTTTTCTTTTTGCGAATACAGACTAACACGGCTGTTCCTCTGAAACCTGCCAGATCTTCCAGGAACTCTCCTCCCTAACATTTAGCTTCAGATGCTAGTGTAAGACATGACAGAAGAATGGTGGGAGAGAAACATCTATTTTAAATAAAGGGGTTCTTTGTTAGACGGGTGTTTTTATTTTTAAAAATCACTTTTGCAATATTTGGGACACAAAATAAAGGAGAATTCTCTGGAATTCAGAATGGTGACTAGAAGAACACAAAGAATTGGGGAAAGATACAGATGAGGTATGTAGTAAATTTTACTATTCAGTCTTCTTGCAGGTGGCAAAGCTTAAATAAAAAGTTTTACAAAAGACAAAGCAGGAATTAACTCCCAGTCTCTCAGGCAACACAAAGTAAATGTGGATAAAGTCTCAGATCCCTTTTAAAATGTTAACTAAAAAAAAATTTGAGGTGGAAGGCAATGTGCTCCCCATGTCTGTTAATATGCTGGGGGATGCGAAGAAGAGATTAATTTTCTGTAAATAAATCACATTTTCTAAGAGTGACTAGTAGGATTTACCTTCAGTTTTAAAACATTAATATTTGGCCTATCACCAAAGTTGGTCAATGACATTGCAAAGTCTTATGTCTATTTTTACCTGTCCAAATCTACTGTCAGGGACCATTTGGGCTTGAATGACTTCGTCTTGAAGCAAATACAAAGCTATTCATGGATTCCTCTATCTTTTTTTTTATGGAAGTACATTTTGCCTTCTAAACTTGCTGATAGTGTCTTTCCAACCTTGCCATTGCACAGCATTGCCATGATAGTGCCTTTCAGCAAAATATGCTAGTATGTGAAACTAAACAACGTTATTGGTTTCAAACTGGAAAGTACATAACTTAAGCCTTACATACTGTTTCCTTTCTTTTGTGATAGGAACTCATAACTACTCTGTACATTGGATTCTTGGGACTGATCTTCTCATCCTATTTTGTCTATCTTGCTGAGAAGGATGCAGTGGATGAAGATGGAAGAACAGGTTTCTCCAGCTATGCTGATGCCCTGTGGTGGGGTGTGGTAAGTCATCTGTAGCAAAGTGTGTGCCTAGTCTTTGTCCACTCTCATGCAAGATAGACCATTGACATTAATAGGGATTTTTTTTCCTGAGTAAGGATTTATTGATTTGCAAAATTAGACCTATTTGTAAATGGTAATCTAGAAGGGAAATTTAACCTTTTTTTTAAAGTAGATGCAATAGAACTAAAATATGTCAGTAATGAAGTATATTATAAAGGCAAAGTAGTGACTCCGTGGTAAAGTTTGTATTAAGTACAAAATGCAAAGTAGGAATTAAATCCTTATTTTAAAGAGTGAGAAATTAATCTTGAAATTTTACATCCTCTTTTGAGCCCAATTTAATATCCAGTGATTTTTCTAAAAAGAAACATTACTGTAAGAATGTTCCCTCTTACAAATTTAGGCCAAGGTGTTCCATTATTTAGATACCTCTAGCTATGCCACTGTAGTGACAGCCCCCAAAGCACGCGTGTAGATGTCAGTTATGTGTACTACAACACAAACTGCATATTCTAAAACATGGAATACAGGAAGTTGTGATAACATTAAATAGTTCCATTGAAAGTAGTTGACAGAGCCCTCCAGATCCGTCAGCAGTTTTGGATGTCTGATAGTGCTTCCCAGTTTCACCAGCAGGGCTCAGTAAGGAGTCATGGTGAACTAAAGAAGGTTTGGGGCTGGGGGTAATGGGCAGTTATGGGAGTTGTATAGGGGTGTGAATGTCCAGCTGGATGGAGAAGGGAGTATGTGGTTATGTGGGGGAGTGAAGAGAGAGAACATGTATTGGTGAGGTGGTAGGGTTATGCTCCTCTAGCCATGGTCATCACATTCGTGACACATCTCTGGGAAATGTCTTTCCTCTGCTCACCCGCAGTCTGAGTCTGATACACCACCTGTGCTCCTGAGGCAGCTTTCCCCACTGGTAAATCTCATGTGGCTCATGATCTGGGAGTGTCAGTGTGGCAAACCAGAGGAGGCTGACAAATCAGGTCTGGTGATAGGGTGGGGAATGACCTACTCTGAGGATATTTATGATGATATTGGGGGCAGACTTAGAGCCACTAGCTCCCAAATATTCACAACTTGCCCATTCAGCCCTTACACATCCCTTAACTGCCTATTCTCCCCTCTTCCCAAACTGTGCTGTAAAGTAAAACCTTAATTCCTACCTCATACTTCCCATTGACAAGCTTACAGTGCATATATCTAACAGATGTTACATTTGCTGTATTTGTTGTAGTGCTAATAAGGGAATGTTATGTATTTCATACTGTTTCTTCATACGTGCACGGGAGTTCATAGCAGAGGTGTACAGCATGTCTGTAAGACTACTGAATGTGAAGGGGGAGTGCTAAGGTATGCTATAGAAGGTTCTCTCTTGCTTATGTGGGTGGGTTTTGCACTTACACAACCTTCTGCTGGCTTTGACATAAGTGTGTGTGTGTGAGAGAGGAAAATTTATCTGGTTTAATCCAAGAACAAAGAGATAAGCAGTTCAAGTCTTTGTAAAGAAAAAATGGAAAACTTCCTTAAGTAACAAAGTAATATTTTACCTGCATCTAAATAATCCATTAAATAAACACTGGTAAGAGTTTGTGGGATAGGAAAAAAAAGGGGGGGGGCTTGAAAGTCCCAATACATAAACATTTATAATATTTGTGTTGGAAGGGTGATGTATAAACTTATACTAAAATTATTTTTATAAAAATTTGGCTTACCCGTTTTTTAATGGCTCAGTTCAAAAATTTTGTAAATCTTTAATTCCAATGATTTGGTTACCATGTATCAACTAATTTGAAGGGTACACAAAGCATCCAATAAATTCATTCAAAAAAATGAAAAACCCTGACCAAACGAACCCCACCCTGAAATGATCAGACAGAACTAAATAGTCTGGCAGGGGGAAAACCCAATGGCCCACAAAATCAAAAGTTGGTTAAATCCCTCTATAGACATCTATGATAAAAAGCTTATAAGGGTCTTAAAGCTTTGTGCATCTGGGCATAAAACAACCTTTAGTTAATGGAGCTTAAGAAACTTTCCACAAGAACAGATGGCTGAAAAAATATAGAATAAAAACCAAAGCAGTAAAGGCCAAACCAGTCTGTGCCTTTTTAGACTGACATCACAAAAAGTCATGTCTATGCTGAGGAAACTTTAACAGCAACCAGTTCCTGCTTGTCCTACTACCAGTTCAGTTGAACTGGTTTTCAAAACAGTCGGGACATGGCTGCTCAGCTAGTTTTTACCGCCGTTTCAGCTAAATATGATCAGTAAATCTAACCAAAATGGTATTAGAAGAGGGAGTAGCTCTGGGAGTCTCAACAACATTAGGGCTCCCACCAGACTTTGCATCAGTTCAACTGATCTCGTGGGAAGCTTGTAAATTCCCCCAGTGTAGTCCAGGTCCAAAGAGGCTAGTGGCTTTGTCTGTCTGTCTCATATATAAATTGGGATGATTGTTCAACGTAATTGTTAAAGGATGCTGATCTGTGTTCTTGTGAATTTTGTAGTATTTAGCTATGGTTTAATAAGGCTTCCCGTCACTGTGGTATATAAACCCTTTCCGTGCATAGTAAACACACAAACATCCCTCTCTTTTAGCTGCTGGCAGGAACATGCTTAAAGAATTAAATCCAATTTTCTAACATGAGAAACTATTTTGGAGTCTAAGGGCTAGATGCTGCAGCCCTGACAGAGTAAAGGCTGCAGAATCAGGGCTTAAAATATGCTCTCTTCATATGAACATATTTTGCAAATATTCTTGATTATAAGTTAATAAAAGAAAACTGGGAGAATTTTCAAGAGAAATGAGTAAGTTTAAAATGTAGGCTATTTCGGTGCTTGTTTTAAATAGGTTGAATTCTAAATGTACCTATCTTAAAGTGTTTATGTATTGCACCAAGTGCTCAGGGATTTTTCTGTGAAATTCTACTTACATTTTGTAATGGGTAGATAAAATCAGCTTTGTCTTTATCTGTGTGAGGCACATGAAGGAAGAATATTGTTTAAGCTTCCCAGACATGTAGGCCTCGGCAGTGTTAGTGAGTCACGGTGCAGGTGCAGTTCACAGCTGGGACCAGTGACACAGGGCAAAGTGAATCACTTAGTTTCTTTTTCTTTTAAAACCTCCTATAACACAAAAACACAGATGTGGAGTTATTAGGGAGTGAAATTTGATTTCACTTTTGCTTTTCAAAACTAATCCAGTTTAAAAAAAAAAAATCTTGGTAGCAGCTTTTGACAGTTTTTTGTGTATCTGCTAAAACCACAGAGACTATTATGTGAGATATTTTGACTACCGTAGAAAGTGCAAGCTTGCTGAATTTGATACAAAGGTCCTAAAGGGTTTAAACATGAGGAAAAAGGAAAATAAAACAAAAATAAAAGGAATTTGGAACCAAATTTTAACCAGGTTCACTCGCTCTAGCTGTGAATGCAAGGCTGTTGCATCTACTTTTGACAGGCATGGCAGATTTAATTGTAGAGTTCTATCAAAGACTTGTAGCATCTTATGTGAACCATTTTCAGCACTATTACCTTGTTAAAATATATGGAAAGACATTTCCTAAGGGATTATCAGTCTGGAAAAATTATTAATCCTGCCTGTTTTTAAGTTTTTGAGTCCTCTTTCGGGGCAGGAGTTGTTGACATCTCATTTCCATTCCCATCTCTTGAGACCCTACCTTAATGTCTTTTGATGAGAACAGGGCTAATTTATGTCTTGTAGAATTTGAGTCAAATAGCTGATTGCCTACATCAGGTTACTCTGCCTATAATACCAATTTTTGAGCTATTTCACCAAATCCCCAATATCAAGTACTCATGTCCCAGCCAGAGCAATGTCCCTTTATTTTTAAAGTTTGGTCCTAAAGCCCTGATCTTGAAAAAGCTTTAAGCATGTGAATAGTCCTATTGCTGTCAGTGAAACTACTCCTCCTTCTTGAAGCTATGCATGTGCATGTGTTTGTAGGATCAGAGGCCAGGTTAGCTAGAGCATATGCAGAAGATATGAGTGGACATGTGATGTAGTGAATCTGGTTTAGGCAACAGGCTTATTTTTTCAATAGCTAATTATTAAATATATGCTGAGTGGTTCACTAGTATTTACTAGAAATACTTTCAAAATAATTCTGGACAGGATTAAGAAAGCTGGACAATTTACATTATCTATAATTCATTCTGCATACTTACAAGTATTAATTAGATTAGCCAGAAAGAATCCTCTTAAAGTGGCAGTGGAGAAACTTTCTGAGACGTGTCCAGACACCTGCAGGAATCTGTCCGCCAAATGTCTGCTGCAGGGATGGAAAAGCATCTCTTTTCTGTGGTTATGGCTTTTTATGCTGTCTCCTACAGTAATGTTAGAGTAGTTCAGCATTACTGCAGTTGGTTTTTAATTCTTGAGTGCTTGAGAACTCAGAAGAACAAGGAGCCTTTCATAGGAAAATGAAGGGGAGAAGAAAAAGCAAGACATTAAAGGATTATCTGGGTGCACTGAGCAGCTGAATGGTCATTAAGGAATCATTGCTTTGATTTCCTCCACTCCCCTGATTGTTTTGAAACTTAACATGTGGTGTTGGTGATTATCATTATTTCTTTGTTTTGGGGTAGTAAGCAATAGCCCTAATCATTATTAGGGCCCCGTTATGCTAGGGGCTGTACAGACTCATGGGAAGATGTGGTCCTTGCTGAGGTGAGCATACAATTTAAAGTTGCAAGGAAATAAAGATACTAAAATATTGAGTTTGCTAAACAACTGGCATTTTGTTCAGAATGAGGTGCCAAGAGTCTATAAAGTAAATGTGAGTCTAGTTTTCAGGGCTTGAAAGTCTTTGTTCAATAGTATTTTCAGCCCTGTGTTTTTTAAATCCTCCTTCCTAGCTTATTACAGTGCTTCCCTGAGAGATTGCTCTAAGGGAAGCATATTCTCTCAAACTGTTTATAGGCTCTTCAGGAAAACCTTTAAAAACCATAGATTAATGACTGTGAAGTGCTTTGAGATTCTGATGAACAGCACTTTATAATAAATAGGCATTATTATTTATTATTCTTTATAGTATCTAACTGGGTGCAACAATTGGAAATAGCAGCGACTGTGCCCTAAATGGCAGTATTCTCACTAGAGCCATTCAAAAAACGTTTGCCAAAATGAAATTTTAGTGAAATATGCTATTTTGTTGAAGCCAGAAGGTTTTGCGGAGATGTTTGTTTCCATGAAACTTTGGGTAGGAAGATTTTTGGGTCGGGGTGAGCACAGAGAGCAAAGACTGACTCTGTAGCTCAGTGGGAGAATCAGGTGCAAGCCCCTGCTCTGCTTGTTTTGGTATGATATGGGATGAAAAATTCTGCTCGGATTTGGAGCAGAGGAGGGAGTGGAGCCTGGTTCTTCCATTTACTAGGCCAACATGCTAACCATAGGCTAAACAGCCTCACTCTCTCCTTTTCAGAAATATTTTTTTTTGAAAGATTTTGTCCAAGGAGAAACAAACAAATTCTGAAATCTTGAAAGTTGTCACAAAATAGAATTGGCATCCTTTGGTCAAGCCTAATTTCCATAGCCTCCTTTGTTCTCATTGTGAATGGTTAGGTGAAAGTGAATTCATCAACCTGTTTTGGTCATATTTCTGGTATTATTGATAGCCATTCCCTACTCCTTATATTTTGCCATGTCCTGACACCTAATAAGTCTTTATAGACGTAGCTGTTAAAATTATTTGTATTGGACAGAATGAAAAATACTCTGTCAATAGCTAGAGTTTTTAATTTTGAGAAGAAGCAAACCATCTTTGCAATGTTGAAACAGGGCAGTGGGCAGGGCCAATTACGGCAATATGATGAAAGATTCAGCACGTATAGAACCTGGGTCTGCAGATTCCCTGGAAAGTGACTATCTCCACACCCACCACCTAACACCTCTGACAGTGGAAACACTTACCAGAACATGAGTCTCAGGGGCCCAAACATGGGTGTACTGCCCAGGGAGGGCGAAATTGACAAGACATTCCTGATGGGTCCAGACGTGCTATTTTAGCCTGGGGAGGAAGTTTGGGTCTACAGCGAGGCAGAATCCTAGCTAGCTGCTGTTACAGATTCTGCTTTTTCGTGCTATTGCTGACCTTAGCTTTACCTCCTGACTCTGATACCCAGTTCTCGACTTGGCTTTGTTTCCTGCGTCTGAATTCCAGTTCCTGATCCCCAGCTTTTACATCCTAGCACTGAGTCCTGACTCTGGCCCATGGTTCCCAACCCTGGATCAACTCACAACTCCACTTTCTAGTATCTGACTGGCTTTAGACACTAGGCCACCTGTCCAAAACCCATCCTTGACATATGGTGTGTTAGACATGCCTCAACATGAGCGCCCTGCCCTTCGTGGCCCAGCATCCCACTTTGAGTAGTGGTGGCCAGGGCCTCTTCTCCCACTCAGGCAGATGCAACAGGATGGGGTCCCCTTGTACTTACTTTCTGTCTGCTGGTGTGTCTATTCAGATGGGTGCACTGGAACCATTGTACTCCTCTCTTCCTGCTACGAGTCCTCTGCTGGGGTGGTGTTGATGGAGCCCCCCAGTGCAGTGCCCCAAAGAGATGAATGGTGTTACTCACCTCTCTCCAGGCTATTGAGATCAAGATTCTAACATAAGCAAATGATTTCAGGAGCTGGGGCTTTAGGCACGGGCCAATCGTGTTTATGCCAAATGGATTGTCATGTGTTGTGATGCTTTCACATTGCTTTCTGGAATAACTTTACAACTTTGCAGTGAATATTTTCTTTGTTTATGGTGCAGGTAACGGTCACAACAATTGGTTATGGAGACAAAGTACCACAGACGTGGATTGGGAAGACAATTGCTTCCTGTTTCTCAGTATTTGCTATATCTTTTTTTGCTCTTCCAGCGGTGAGTGGGAATTCATAGCAGTTATTTAATCCTATGTGTAAATAATACTAATACTTGTTAATTGATGCCATTGTTAAGAAAATGTGGCGTTTTTTAAAAAAAAATTTCTCAGAATATACCACATAGTTATTACACCTTTTAACTTGTAATATTCCTCACGAAAGGAAGGATGATTCATAGATATTTAGGTCAGAAGGGACCATTATGATCATCTAGTCTGACCTCCTGCACAACACAGGCCACAGAATTTCACCCACCACTCCTGCAAAAAACCTCACACCTATATCCGTGCTATTGAAGTCCTCAAATTTGTAGTTTAAAGACTTCAGGGAGCAGAGAATCCTCCAGCAAGTGACCTGTGCCCCATGCTACGGAGGGAGGCGAAAAACCTCCAGGGCCTCTTCCAATCTGCCCTGAAGGAAAATTCCTTCCCGATCCCAAATATGGCAATCAGCTAAACCCTGAGCATATGGGCAAGATTGATCAGCCAGATACTACAGAAAATTCTTTCCTGGGTAGCTCGGATCCCACCCCATCTAATGTCCCATCACAGGCCATTAGGCCTGTTTTACCATGAATATTTAATTACCAAAACCATGTTATCCCATCATACCATCTCCTCCATAAACTTATCGAGTTTAATCTTAAAGCCAGATCTTTTGCCCCCACTGCTTCCCTTGGAAGGCTATTCCAAAACTTCACTCCTCTGATGGTTAGAAACCTTCATCTAATTTCTAGTCTAAATTTCCTGGTGGCCAGTTTATATCCATTTGTTCTTGTGTCCACATTGGTACTGAGCTTAAATAATTCCTCTCCCTCTCTGGTATTTATCTCTCTGATATATTTATAGAGAGCAATCATATCTCCCCTCAACCTTCTTTTAGTTAGGCTAAACAAGCCAAGCTCCTCGAGTCTCCTTTCATAAGACAGATTTTCCATTCCTCGGATCATCCTAGTAGCCCTTCTCTATACCTGTTCCAGTTTGAGTTAATCCTTCTTAAACTTGGGAGACCAGAACTGCACACAGTATTCCAGATGAGGTCTCACCAGTGCCTTGTATAATGGTACGAATACCTCCTTATCTCTACTGGAGATACCTCTCCTGATGCATCCCAAGACCGCATTAGCTTTTTTCACAGCCATATCACATTGGCAGCTCATAGTCATCCTGTGATCAACCAATTCTCCAAGGTCCTTTTCCTCCTCTGTTACTTCTAATTGATGTGTCCCTAGCTTATAACTAAAATTCTTGTTATTCATCTCTAAATGCATAACGTTACACTTCTCACTATTAAATTTCATCCTATTACTATTACTCCAGTTTACAAGGTCATCCAGATCCTCCTGTAGGATATCCCTGTCCTTCTCTAAATTGGCAATACCTCCCAGCTTTGTATCATCCGCAAACTTTATTAGCACACTCCCACTTTTTGTGCCGAGGTCAGTAATAAAAAGATTGGTCCCAAAACTGATCCTTGAGGAACTCCACTGGTAACCTCCCTCCAGCCTGACAGTTCACCTTTCAGTAGGACCCGTTGTAGTCTCCCCTTTAACCAATTCCTTATCCACCTTTCAATTTTCCTATTGATCCCCATCTTATCCAATTTAACTAATAATTCCCCATGTGGCACGGTATCAAATGCCTTACTAAAATCTAGGTAAATTAGATCCACTGTGTTTCCTTCTCAAAGAAGGAGATCAGATTGGTTTGGCATGATCTACCTTTTGTAAAACCATGTTGTATTTTGTCCCATTCACCATTGACCTCAATGTCCTTAACTACCTTCTCCTTCAAAATTTTTTCCAAGACCTTGCATACTACAGATGTCAAACTAACAGGCCTATAATTACCCGGATCACTTTTTTTCCCTTTCTTAAAAATAGGAACTATGTTAGCAATTCTCCAGGCATACGGTACAACCCCTGAGTTTACAGATTCATTAAAAATTCTTGCTAATGGGCTTGTATTTCATGTGACAATTTCTTTAATTTTCTTGGATGAAGATTATCTGGGCCCCCGATTTAGTCCCATTAAGCTGTTTGAATTTCGCTTCTACCTCAAATATGGTAATGTCTACCTCCATATCCTCATTCCCATTTGTCATGCTACCATTATCCCTAAGGTCCTCTTTAGTCTTATTAAAGACTGAGGCAAAGTATTTGTTTAGATATTGGGCCATGCCCAGATTATCGTTGACCTCCACTCCATCCTCAGTGTTCAGTGGTCCCACTTCTTCTTTCTTTGTTTTTTCTTATCTATATGACTATAGAACCTTTTATAAATGGTTTTAATTCCCTTTGCAAGGTCCAACTCTCCTTGACTTTTAACCTGTCTCACTTTATCCCTACATGTTCTGACCTCAATAAGATAACTTTCCTTGCTGATCCCTCCCTTCTTCCACTCCCTGTATGCTTTCTGATTTTTCTTAATCACCTCTCTGAGATGCTTGCTCATCCAGCTTGGTCTACAACTCCTGCCTATGAATTTTTTTCCCCTTTCTTGCGAATCCAGTTGGGGGGGGGGGGGGGAATAGCCTGGGACTTGGGAAACCTAGGTTCAGTTTCCTGCTCTGCCATAGACTTCCTGTGTGACCTTGGGCAAGTCACTTTTTTGTGCCTCAGTTCCCCTTCTGTAAAATGGGGTAATACTCTCCACCTCATGGGAGTGTCATGAGGATAAAGACATTAAAAATTGTCAGGCACTCAGATTAAGGTTGCTAACCCTCCAGGATTGTCCTGAAGTCTCCAGGAATTAAAGATTGTGTCTTGTGCTGGAACGGCCAGGAATATATCAAACCAAAACTTTCAGCTCTAGCTCAGATAATATGGTGATGGTGGCCATTTACATACCTTAAATATTGGGCATTAAATATATAACAACACCTTGCTTTTCTGTAGCCCTTTTCATCCATAGATCTCGAAGCCCTTTATAAAGGAGATAAGATTCATTATCCTCATGTTACCATTGGGAACACTAAGGTACAGGTAGGTGAACTGACTTGCCCAAGGTCAACCGGCAGGCCAGTGGCAAAACTGGGAATAGAGCCCAGATCTCCTTATCTTCTTGTCTTTTGTGATTTAAAAAACTGAGATTGTAAGGAGGCAACCTGGGAATCTCAATCAGGTCTGCTGCAAAGCACCATTGCTGGGCTTTTTTTGGCTCCCCAAATTGAATGAGGGAATGTAAGGACAAACTAACTAAGCTATAAGACTTTTGCTGAAGTTTTGAAAATAAAATCCTTAGAATGACTTAGCATTACACATAATATAGCAACAGGTAGAAGGAATGTCAGGCAACAAGAACGGTGTGTAGCTTTCAGTCTGAAGCCTGAAGACACATGGTGTTCCTTGTCTAGATGGAAACTCAACTCAGCCATTGTATTGATTAAAGGTTTGTAAATATTTTGAACAAAACTGGGCTACAGTTTTGTCAAAACCAGGTGATGCTTGACTGTTTTTTAATTGCAGGTTTGTTCAGAGCAGAACTCAGAGGGTATGAACCCACATTACTAAAAACTAATGTAACCTCTGAGAAATTGAAACTGGATACAGCTATAGCTCTGTAATAATTTATTGCCTTAATTTTAAAAGAAATTCTTTTATAGAGTGCAACATGTATATTTCCTTGAGTTCTTCCACAGGTGACAGGTGAAAAGAGTTGTTTGTTTGTGGGGGAAGGAAATAGTAAGTGTAAAATACATCTGGAGTTCAGTTTTTTCTCTCACTATCATGTGCCAGTTGCTTTTAGAATGTAGTGAAAGTGGCTACAGCTACTGTATATTGAATAATGTTCCCCATAAATTCTAGCTGTGAATGTATGGTTGAGTCTTTTTAGGGACAGAATATTTCCTGATTTGTGTAAAAGAGTTAGTGAAGTCATGTGGTGCCCAGAATACCTCCAATACACTGTATTTCATCACTGGATAAATTTTGTCATCCCGGAAATGTTAAGAGGTAAGATACTCCATGACTATAACTGAGCTTAGGTGAAATTCTCTCATTAATATTAAAGGAGGAGTTGCCAAGAAGAAAATGGTTTTTATTTCATGCTTTAAATTTTTGTTTTAAAAAGTTTTACCAGAGACTTACCAGTATTTGGTTTACTTTTAGGGGATTCTGGGTTCTGGTTTTGCCTTGAAGGTACAACAGAAGCAACGTCAGAAGCATTTCAACAGGCAAATCCCAGCGGCAGCTTCTCTAATTCAGGTAAACGCTTGAATCCTAAAACGGAGTAAATGGAGGAGTATAGTTTAGTGGTCACAGGACTAGGAGTTATGACTTCTGGGTTCTACTCCATCTCTGCTGCTGATTGGCTTTTAAACCCAAAATCATTTCGCCTCAGTTTACTGATCGTGACATGAGGATAATTACCTATCCCACAGGCTCGTTGTGAAGTTTAATGTTTTAAAGGGCTTTGAGATTCTCAAGTGAAAGACACTGGTCAGTTGCAGACTCTTGTTGAACTAAAGAAGCAACTTTGTCATTTATTTGTAATTTTCATGTAATTATTATCTACCTTGTAGTATTCCCATAAGTACTACGTATGTCTTAAATAATTGGGTGGGTATGTATGGATGGATACATACACCCATCTTTGGAAAATGCTCCAATATTACATTTAATATAGTGTAAAGAGACTGTCAACTGAGAATAAAGTTACTAAAATGTGGCACAATGCATAAAAAAATGAAGCTGGAGCATTTCTTAATGTTCTAAGAGTATTTCCTCTTATGGGGTAGACTTTCATCTGCATGTGTAGTGGATTAGGCCACAACTCCCACTGATAATACTAAGAGCAGCATGTTTAAAAACACCACATGCTGAAGTGACCATATGACTTTTGGTGATGGTACCTCTTAGCACAGTTGCTCGTGGGAGCGACTGTGTTTTATTTGACATGTAGCTATACTGTACAGCACACAGTGGTTCAGTGAAAACCCTTTGCAGGACATTTGTATAAATAAAAGAACACACTCTAGGTTTATTTTTGGCAGGGTTGTAGTTACCTTTCCTTCAGAACACAGTGCCCATTTGTTCACTGAAATAATTGTTTGATTTTTACTTTAGACTTTATGGCGGTGCTATGCAGCAGAGAAATCATATAGTTCTACAGCAACATGGAAGATCTATGTTACTTCGCCTGCTCAAAATACCAAAAAAACACCAGCGCCATCTAGCCCCAGTCTGAGAAAACAGGTTAAAAGGAACTTGCTGTACTTATTTTCTTCTTGGTTTTAATTTAGTTGGGTTAACAACCAGAATATAAGTAAAAGAGGTAGAGAGGTTGCAGTGAATTTGTAGAAACATTTGGGTTGGAAGAGACCTGTAATGGGATATGGAATCTATTTCCTACATTGTCAAGATCAACTTAATTGTCCTTTCAAAGCAAACTTGATGGATGGATATGTCTCTGTTTCGAATGTATCCATTGATTTCTATGGGCCTGATTCTTCATTACCTTGTCCCTTATGTAGACATTTATAACTGTTCAACTAAGCATTCATTGCTATCTTATATCAGCTGGTAGCATTTTATATCCATTTTATACTCAACTGAACAGTTATGTATGACTGGAAAAGGGAAAGGCAGTAGAGCAGTAGGGCCTGTGCTCTTAATTTGGCTTGTAATATCTAATTTAATTGGTTTAAAGTGCTTGTCTCTATAGAAGACTTTTGAAAAGCAAGTCAGGCAAATATCCTAGTTTGGCTGAAATAAAGCCGAATTTCCGTGCATGTCTCTGTTTCCAAGTGTGTATTATTATTTTCATTACAGTAGCAGAGAGAGGTGCTGTGCAAATGCATAGTAAGAGACAGGTCCTGCCCTGACGAGCATACAATCTGAACAGACAATCCAGACAGAGGAGGGGAGGGTTAGCACAAGGCATGGCATTGCTCTGTGCCTGTGTAATCTCGTACAACAAGCTAGTGACAAGGCTAAGAAAAATAACTCGGGTCCTTTGACTCCCAGGCCAGTGCCTTTCCCTCTGGATCACACTGCCTCTATTTTTCTCATTTTTCCTAGTGCACTATTATACCTGGATTTCCCCTGCAATAACTTAATCCCATAATTGCAGATTCTGCCTTTGTTCATTAATGGGCGAAACTCTCACTTGTGAAGAGGGCCAGTAAAGATGTCTTTGTACCACTTAAACCTACCCAGCCCTTATTCTGAGGGTTAAAGTGGCGTATTGGCTTTGTGCAGGCCCTTGGCAGGGGGTAAATTTGACCCTGATGAGAAGAGCTAGCTCTTCTCAGACACACACAGTCACTTCATGAAAATCTTTAAAGCACATACACAAGCATGTACACTTCCTTTCTAATTAGGTACACTGTTTCAGGAAGTGGTCAACTAGCTGATTTAGGTTGTCAGCCAGGCTAAAGTGTGTGTGTTACTTATCACCAGATCTTTGCCCAGCCACCAGCTTAGTTATTGGTCACATCAGGAGCTGACACTGCAAACAAAGGTGGACAGGAGGACACACAACTGTAGTCTTTTCCCAGAGCCCTAGCAACCGAAACTGCTGGAAAATAGAAGAGACTGTTGGGGTGCCTAGCCAATATAGGCACTTGATATCACCAGGACTCCCAGGTTTCCAGCCCATGATGTCCATCTTCTCCCTTCAGGGGTCCTTTGGCTTTTGGGAAGCAAAGTACATGAAGGAGACAGGCTGTTTTATCCTATTACTGCTGGGTGGTTCAATTTAGTGCCTCTTCTTGGAGATGCTGGCATGGACCAACCAAATAGTGACCGAAACTTTTACCGAAGAATTGAAATGTCCAACATAAATTAGTCCAATCAGGGAACGAGACATCTGCTTTTGAGATCTTGCAATGGGGCCTGGAATTTTCCAATTTCTTTTTGCAATACAGCTTGTCACACCAGCTCGTGTAAAGACAAGTTAGGTCATAGCTGCTGGTACAATCATTTTAGGACCTTCATTGAACTCCAGCTGTTTTGCTCTGGTCAGCAACTTATCTCCACGGACAGCTTTCTGGGAGCCTCTCTATGGCATATCTCTTAGCCGGTTTTGCAGTTATGCTTGCTCAAATTGTAATTTCTCAGTCAAAATACTCTGCTAGCTACTGAAACATCCAATTTAGAGATCACATAATTTATAAAAAGTACCTCCATAGTCTTTGATATTTAAACGAGTACATTATACAGCGCAAAGTCACTTCAGTGACCGTTGTTCTCAAACTAGAACGTCTGTGTAAATTTTCCATTTCTGTTCGCCTTGTTTTAACAAAATTGGCGGGACCTCTGTACATATGACTGAGCTGAATCTGTGCTTTATGAATCAGTTATATTTCTGATTATTCCACTTTGGTCAAGTGTTCTTATAAACACAGTTTGGTTTCACTTCCTTTTATTTACGGCCTCCTTCAGCATAGATGTATTTCACTAACTTGATAGAATAAGCATGCTTAATTGCACACATTAGACTTGCTACTTTGCTTTATCACTTAAATGAAAAGAAATCAACAGGAACACAACCCCTTTCTTTCCGAACAGAATTGCCCACGAGGTAAAGCCTGTTAAAGTTTACAATATTTTGCCCAAATCTTTATCTCTAATAGTTGACTTCCCTTTTACACACATTTTGAATTATAATATTAGATTCCATCAAGTTACCCATTTTAGTACTGTTCCTGGCACATCATATAGAATCAAGGTTTGATATTAATGTAATTTTTAATTCATTTACTTACTCACAGACAGGGAAAATAGGGAAATCTCTAGCTGCACCAGTACACTCTGGAGAGAAGCTACAGCAATTCTGAATTTTCTCAGACTATTGAAGAAATCTAGCCATTAGATCTTGTGTTTTTCTACTCTTAGCCCTCTGTTCTATCTTTCTAAAAGGCCTTGATGCCTGTGCAATTGTGTTATAGTCACAACACATAATTTTGGGGCCTCAGTTTTATACTCAAGTTTTGGGCATCCAATTTGAGAAAAATTAGAGAGACCTTCTTTTCAGAGAGTATTGACTGCCTGCTCACTAGAAGTTTGGTCTCTTTAAGGTGTTTTAAAGTTGGGCATCCAGAATGTGTCAGTTTTGAAAACTTTGGCCAAGGATTTTGGCCATGGCTTTGAATTTGACCTTGGCCGTGGCTCTGAATTTCACCCTTACTTCTTAATTTAACTTAAAAGTTGTAGTATCAAATTCAAATTTACTATATAATAAATCTCAAGCGTGTTGCACTTTTCTCTGCATGCAGTTAATATCTTTGCTATTATACCATTTCCATTGCTTCAGTCTAGAAGATATAAAAGAAAAGGAAAACCTGGGCGTGATAATGGCTCGACACCAATAGTAAATCCTGGACAGACTACCTTACCCATTCCACAAATTACTTACGATCACATTGATGAAAGAGAAGACAAAAAAGACGTGGCTTTTTACCTTGATGAACCTGGAGGTAATTTACTTATATTTATGTTTAGGGCTGCAAATCTTTTAAGCAGACACTGTTGAAAGAACTGGCAAAAGGATACAGTCTTTGTGTATGCAATTTTAAAATAGTTAATGAAGCAAGTTATCTGAAAACAAGGACCATTTAAATGACAAAAATGTGGGCACCACATAGTAAAATTAGAGATAAATTAACATATACCGTGACTATCAAAGGAATTGTGTTTTTGTTGAACATACTGTACATAAAATCCAAAATGCCAGTTTAGTTCTGCCTTTTAAAATTTCTGGCACAGACCTCACCTCACAGTGAGAACTAAATGCAAAGTTTATCCCATGAGCCTAGCTTTCCCTCAGTATGTTATCAACACACACATATACCCTGTCAATTTAATCAAGTTCCTACCAACTGGGAAGGGAGAAAGTGAGACTTGCTTTTCTTATCTTATATTCTAGCGTGACATGCAGATATGACAATGATGGGGTGGCATATACATATTTTATACCTAGGTGGATATGATAGTTTCAGTTGGAAACAGTATTTTTCTTCACTTCCTGCATTAAAGTTCTGTGTTGTAAACAGTAGCTGCATTTCACTCTGGAAATGGCTGGATTTCAGTCTTAAGTAAAGAGATTCTTGTGTTTGTACAGTGCTTTGAGACTTTTAATGATGGAAGACTACTACATAAATGTGCATATAAAATAGTATTGGTATAATAAATTTCAGAGCTGCTCTTAAAACAATTTTTCTATCTGTAATCTACCTCCCTTTGTCTTTTGGGTAAAAACCCCCTCTCTGTACAAATCATGGACCAGTGAAGCCTCTAGCAGAGGAAGCAGATTCACTGGAGGATGGTTTCCACATGCTCCTATCTTGCCCTTTCGGAAACCTGCAAATACCTGCTAGGCTAAATGAAGGATCCAGAAATGATCTGGCCAAGTACAGTAAATAAAGTATTTGTTTCAGGTAGCTTTGAAGAACATCATGCCTTCTGCCGTTTGACATGGGATTCAAGAAGTCTCCAGTAAACTTGCCTAGCATCTCTGTACTAAATGGATTTTCTAATATGGCATTTGGGCTGTCACAGGATTTGACGGCTTTTTTCTCTGTTTTTTTGTGGTGCGATAGTTTGCTTTTTAAATGTATTTGTTCTCAGAGTACATGCTGTGTACCTGCTGCTGCTGAACACAGTGTAATAAGGTGGTGACTTTTTTGAATAGTTTTGACTTCATAGACCACAGGAATGAAGGTCAAGTGGTATGCTAGGTTGTATAATCCGCTAACCAACAACAGAGGCTGTTGAGTAGCAAAAATAAATCAGTTAAGAAAAGTGTAAGCACATGACATTCTGGTTTCTCTCTGAGGGCCCTCTTGATGGGCTATTTATATAGTATACCTAGAGTGAGAGGCAGCTACTTAGAGGTTGCTGTAAATGAACACCATTCAAATCTCTATCTTTGGCTACTTCTAAAAAATATACTAATTGAGCAGTTACATTTAAAATTAGTTGCTATTTATATCCATGGGGTGCATCCAAATGCAGATTAAAACTAATGTATTGGTTAAAGGTTTCATTCATGTATATTTTGATTTTTCTTATTGTTTTGAATTGAATCCTAATGTAAAGCAACATAAATTATTCATACTTCGATTAACCTCTCTACTACATTCTTGTATTATGTTGTAACTTAAAGTATTTTTATAATTTACTCATGACATTCTCATTTGTTCTTAATGGCTATAAAACTTGGGTTGCATGCATTCTCACTTGAAGATTTTGCTTCATCTTATATATATATATATATAATAGCTATTGCAGTAATAGTCAGACAGTGACAGGCAAAAGAGAAAGTGTGATTGGTAATTAATGTTCTTTTCTTTAACTTCTATGATGCTAAGGAACAAATAAAACTTAAAGTCCTTGTCCATTCCCCTGCCTGTTCAGTTGTTCATTTAAAGAATATTCCTTAAATGTTCACCGTTTGAACAAGCAAACTGGTCAGTTTTCACAATGGAGAGGTAAATTGTGGGGTCCCCCAAGAATCTGTACTGGGATTGTGCTATTCATATTCATAAATAATCTGGAAAAGGAGGTAAACCGTGAGGTGACAAAGTTTGCAGATGACACAAAATAAGGTAAGTCCAAAGTTGACTGCCAAGTTATGAAGGGATCTCACAAAACTTGGTGACTGGGCAACAAAATGGGAGATGAAATTCAGTGTTGATAAATGCAAGGTAATGCAAATTGGAAAATGTATTCCAAAATATACATAGAAAATGATGGGGTCTAAAATAGATGTTACCACTCAAAAAAGAGATCTTGGAGTTACTGTGGATAGTTCTCTGAAAAGATCTGCTCAATGTGTAGCAGCAATCAAAAAAGCTGAGAATGTTAGCAACCATCAGGAAAGGGATGGATAATAAAACAAAAAATATAATGCCATTATATAAGTCCATGGTACACCCACACCTTGAATACTGCATGCAGTTCTGCTCACCCCATCTTAAAAAATATATTAGAATTGGAAAAAGTAAAGGAAAGGGCAATACAAATGATTAAGGGATACGGAACAGTTTTCATACATTTGTCTGTTTAGCTTGGAAAAGAGATGACTAAGGGGGGGATTGGTAGAAGTCTATAAAATCATGAATGGTGTGGAGAAAGTGAATAGTGAAGTGTTATTTACCCCTTCACATACCACAAGAACCAGGAGTCGCACAATGAAATTAATAGGCAGCAAGTGTTAAATATAAGGAAGCACTTCCTGACACAATGCACAGTTAACCTATGGAACTCATCACCAGGGAATGTTGTGAAAGTCAAAAGTATAACTTTAAAAACAAAAAAAGAATTAGATAAGTTCATGGAGGATAGGTCAATCAGTGGCTATTAACCAAGTTGGTCAGGGACCCCACCCATGCTCTGAGTATCCCTAAAATTCCAGCTGCCAGAATCTGGGACTGGAAGATAGATCACTTACTAATTGCCCTGTTGTGTTCATTCCCTCTGAATCATCTGGCATTGGCTGCTCTCAGAAGACAGGATACGGAGCTAAATGGCCCATTGGTCTGACCTGCTATAGCTGTTTCTGTGTTCAAAGTGCTCTGTCTAGCTGGAAATATTATGTTACAAAGGCTAACTTTATATTTGTAGTGCTTTCTGCCCCTACCAGCTGGTAACAAAGGAAAATCAGGTGTTTGCTTTTTTTCTCCCTTCAGATGGGTGAAGAGAGAATTAAGTTGTTGTTTTTTCCAATTTGTAGAGCAGTGGTCAGCAACCTTCGGTGTGCAGCTCATCAGGGTAATCCGCTGGCAGGCCTTGTGGCATTTTGTTTACATTGACCATTCCTAGGCATGTCCCCCGCAGCTTCCAGTGGCTGCAGTTCACTGTTCCTGGCCAAAGGGAGCTGTGGTAAGCAGTGGCCAGCACATCCCTGTGGCCCACACTGCTTTCCGCAGCTCCCATTGGCTGGAAATAGCAAACTGTGGGCGGCCATGGCTGTGGACAGTCAACGTAAACAAACTGTCTCATGGCCCGCCAGCGGATTACTGTGATGGACCCTTGCTGTAGAGGCTAGAATGCATGCTATTCTAGGGCCAACTGTATTTCTATCTTCTTTATCTCCTTTTAGCCAAAGTGCAGTGCTAAGTTACAGTGTTTCCTCTTCTGATTTATTCCTTCTGTAACAAAGCTTTCAAGAATATGTTGAGCCAACTAGATTGATTAATTGGCTAAATATGCTTGACCACCTTAACAGTTTTAACCTGATTTTCCTCAAAGATTCCTTGTGAGCAGTTAAAGGCTTGCAGCCTGGTGCTTCAAAAAGGGGGGAATTCCCCCCTCCCCTCCCTTCTGCCTTGAAACTTGAATGGAAGAGTATTGGAGGAGTTCAGGAAGGGATAAAGGAATGGTAAATGACAGAGATGATACTGTCTGCCCTTTCAGTGTTCCATAGACTGGAGTGGCTTGGCCATAGATGTGTGGAAGCTGAGGGTTTTACAGAGACTGACAAACTTAGGTGGTGTCAGGCTGCATCATCTCTACTGATCTGTCATTGCAACATCATATCTCTAGGTTTTTTTTAAATAGTGCCTGCCAGCTGTTTAATTCAGATGTGAACATAGTGTCACAGCAGGTGCTTGTGAGTAGCAAGGGGAGGAATGAGAACTTATGAACTGTGATGCTTCAGAAAAGAAGTATCTGTAAAAATATGGTAGATCAGTAATTTTTGGACTATCCAATGTGTAAAACAATGTTAGAAAAATGTTCCTTTCATAAATACTGACTTGCGGAGTCAGTTTGTAATGATCTCAAGTGAAATATGCTGTACAAAATGTGGTGTTATGAAATAAGTATTTTTAATTGCACTGTTTTGGCAGGTGTAATATAAACTGTTTCTTTACCTTGGTTGAAGAACGTGCAGTACATGACTTAGGATGATGACTGATGATGATGGAGAAGCAATCTTAATCCTGGGAGAATTACCCTAGATTTAGTGGCCACGCAATTTTCCAGTGGGATGTTTGTTTCCTTTATTTCACTGTAATATCTCCCTTTATTCCTCATTCATCATTATTAGCCTTTCATCAGCTTTTGAATGTTCCTAGCAAGATTATGCTTCATATGCTTTTAAAACCTTGAATTTTTATTCCCTGCCCAACACCTAGAGTACAGTATGTGAGTACATTGTGTGGGCCACATTTGTGTCTACACTACGAAATTAGGTCGAATTTATAGAAGTCGGTTTTGTAGAAAGCGGTTTTATACAGTTGATTGTGTGTCCCCACACAAGTGCTCTAAGTGCATGTAGTCAGCGGAGTATGTCCACAGTACCGAGGCAACCATCGACTTCCAGAGCATTGCTCCGTGGGTGGCTATCCCACAGTTCCTGCAGTCTCCACTGCCCATCTGAATTCTGGGTAGAAATCCCAGTGCCTGATGGGGCTAAAACATTGTCGTGGGTGGTTCTGGGTACATATCGTCAGGCCCCCGTTCCCTCCCTCCC